CAACGACTCAGCGTAGGATAATGCTGCAGTGGCTCAAAGTAGTGTTATAACCTTTATCTAATCAGGGAAACCGAGCAATCAAGCATTGTCATTACATGCATGAGCCAGTCCAACTATGACCATGTAATGCTTATTAGTCTCCATAATTGTGACTGACAGAGTGTTTTAATCACCTCAAGACAGTTTCCATATAATACGTGAAGACACTGGATGATTTATCTGCTGGTCTTAAACGTAATAAAGTAGCTTTGTGTTTCATCATGTGATTCATCAGAGGACATACCGATACAGCACAAAACCACACTGACACCACAAGACTAACCAGGCCTTTAAGCCTGGAACCATTTTCACATCTAAGAACCAAGAGACGACAGTGTGTTTAAAAATGTACTGAAACTATTACGTAGCCAAAATGTGATGAGGTGGCCTCTTTTATTAGCTTTGTTACCTTCTAACCAGAATAAAATGCTGCTTTTGTTCCATCACAGCTTTTTTTTTTATCAATGCCTAAATATTTAAATTCTTCAGTCAGTCTTAGTCATTAGATAAATATACAGTATATATATATCTATCTATATATATATATATAGATAGATATATATATATAGATATCTATATATCTATATATAGATATATAGATATATATATATCAAATATCAGTCGAATATTTTAAAAAGCCGCTCTCTAATGATAATTTCATTTAAAAAGCTATTAAACCAAGCAATTTCTTTTCTGTTAAAAAGTAAATTCCTTGACTTAAAAAGGAGTACCAATAACTGCCATCAAGCCTTTTTGATAACTATGAGTGTTGTACATCATCCATCCATTTTCCGTCACGCTTATCCCAAGCTGGGTCGTTTTGCTGGTGCCTGTCTCCAGCTGTCAATGGGCGAGAGGCAGGGTACACCCTCGACAAGTCGCCAGTCCATTACAGGGCAACACAGAGACAAACAACCATTCACGCACACCTAAGGTAAATTTAGAGAAGCCAGTTAACCTAAAAGTCATGTTTTTGGACTGTGGGAGGAAGCCAGAGTACCCAGAGATAACCCACACATGCACAGGGAGAACATGCCAAGTCCACGCAGAAAGATCCTGAAACAGGAATCAAACCCACAACTGTCTTGCTGCATGGCAGAAGTGCTACCCACTGCACCAATGAGCTGCCCTGTGTTCATATCAGTGGAGGGAAACTCCTCTTTGAAGAACCATTACGCAGCCACACTGGAAGGTTTCTTGCCACCAATCATCTGTTTTTTCATTCCATAACATCTCAACTGGATTTAAATATGCACTTTAACTTGGCCACTCCAGGCCGTACATAAAAATTTTTGAGCCATTCATAAGGTAGAGATGCAGCTTTGCTTTGGGATCATTGTCCTGCTAAATGACCCAAAAATACCACATTTTAAAAGTATTCTTAGAACATTGTCCTTCACGCTGGAGAGCAGAATTTATTGTTCTAGTAAAGAAGTCGTCCAGATATTGATCCCCTGACCACCATCACCATATATCAGTGACACTATAATGCTCTTTTTCTGAAATCTAATCAAACCCTATAAAATAGCCACAGAATAATTTCTCTGAAGCAATGGGTTCCTTAAAAATTGTATAAATAATAAGAAAGGGTCTTTGTGTTCTTTGTGGTCAGCAGTGGTTTCTTCAATGAAGGCAATTGTTTTTCTGGTCTCTTTCTTGTTGTTGGGTCATGAACTCTAACTTTTAATGAGGCAAGTGAAGCCAAACATATTTTAGATGTTCCAGTTTTGAGATTTTGTTGTGGTCCTGGATTGATTTTTGTTGGCTGGCCGCCCATATGAAGAGTCAATTATGTTTAATTTGTTTTCCTTTGGAGAACTGGAGTCTAAAAGCATGAGAAATTGTATTGTGACCCTTTCTAGACACTTGTTTTTGAATCACTTTAAAATACCATGGTGTCTTTTTTTTAAATTGCTTTGGGTTGTTTTATTGTCTGACAGGTTCTTTTTAAAATTTGCGTTTTATTTTACAGCTAATACAACTGGAGCTATAAGTAAACCTAACCAAAAATGTTGTTAATCACAACCCATGAATAAATAATGGCTGAAGTTACATTTTCACATTGGGTTTTGGTTGTTACGACAAAAAAGAAAATCATCTTCAATGTATTTTGTATTTAATCGTGTTATTAATTCTACAGAGTTAAGAAAAATGTTGAACTGAAACATTAAATTCAATTCAATTCAATTCAGTTTATTTATATAGCGCCAAATTCACAACACATGTCATCTCAAGGCACTTCACAGTTCAACCAGATGTGTCATGTGTAAATGTGTCACAAAAGTTAAAACAGAAGGAATTTACAAGCAACAGATAGTGTTTTTAATGCACTTTACGTACCGATTGCCCCTTTTTTCACTTACCGTATGTTTTGATTCTACGGTTAAAAAGATCATCAGTAGACTAAGAGATCACCAGTTATAATGGACCAGGATCTTAATGTGGACAGAAGTGCACCACAGTTCACAATCTTGGCATTCTCTCACTGAGGGGCCAAAGCCTCTGTGAGAGATGCCATCACATTCCACAGCCATGACAACAGAAAGCACATACATCTAGCTGTGTAGGCTAAGTGAAACGCTGCAAAGCAAAGACATTTTAACCCCAGACATCTTATTTTAGAATTATTGTTTTTTTTAGTATTCAGTAAATCAATCAGCTTATTCTGCTTCATAATTAAAAGCTTTCTGAACCTCAAAAGACTGGGATGAATAGGAAAATATGTACAAAAAGTATTAATAATTATTTTATATATTTTCACATTTTATCCACATTGCAACTACACATTTCATTTGATGGCATTTGTAAATAACCAGCACCTAGAATTAAAGGAAAGGGTGGCTTGTTGTGCACATGTTATGTAAGGTCAAGGTGATGTACAGCGCTATTTTTCTTATGCATTTTGCATAAAGGTAAAAAAGCACACTGTTGTTTTAATCAGACCAGAGCCTTTCCTTTCACCTGATATGCTGTGAATCTCTGTAGAGTAACAATGGGACCCTGAGCTGCGTCTCTGATTAACGCTCTGCTTGTCCAGCTTGTCATATTAGGTGGATGGACTAGGTCTTAGGAGGTTTACAGTTTGCTATTATATTTTCAGATTATTTACTGAGTCTAAATACGTCCAAAGCTTGTACTGTACCAGGTTTTACTGAAGGATAGCAGAATAACGAAGGAGGGCCAAAACCATTTTCACTTTTTTATATTTTCATTTATAAAAAAAGCTCAAAGCAATGTCTTCTTTTTCATTTCACATCTCATATAGTCTATCACCTAAAATCCCATGGAAATACTTGCAAACCATTGCTTTTATGTGACACTACTACTTGCCTTGTTTTCAGAGGCAAGTCACTATCAGCCTCTTAACTATATCTTAACTATAAAACCCCTCTCAAAGATAAAGGAAACTATTAAAATCTACTTATAAAAAGCTCAAAACGTTACACTATTAACATAAAATAATCGGTAAAATGAAAAGCTAACTCGTTGGACAAAGTACTAAAGAAGAGTAGCACACTTTCTAGATTTAGCCAGCAGGTAGCAGCAGAGGGAAGACAATTTCTGCAGGAGTCTCTTGGAAACCAAACCCCACTACTGAATGTTTCAGGAAACCTGGCAGAGCTTCCTGTTTAATCCTCTTCATCAAAATTGCATGGTTGTTCTGCTGACAGCATTCAGGTCATTAAGCTCCAGCAAAAAGGGCTTTAAAAACCAGAAAAAAATATCAAGAAGAAGCAGCTGATTTTTGTTCTACTGAGAGGTGTCATCTTAATAAAAACAGTTTTTTCAGAATTTCTTGGATATTCAGTTGCAGAAAAAGTTATATTTTATGTAAATAGTTAGTAATTGAGCCAAATTACTTCTATTATATGTGTAATAATATTTTAAAAACTACACACCTGTCTTTTTCATGCTGAAACATATCTAAACATGCATTGTTGTGCAGTTTATGGCAGCACAATAAATCAGATTAATCTTGACCTGTGGATCCAGCTGCTGCAGAACAAATATCAATTATTCCTGCGATCATGGCAATATTTTCCATTGCTTCTAAGGTTATATTTAGATTAGGGACAATTCACAGTTCTTAGGTGCTCATTTTTGGTCTGAATTAAAGACAGGATTTATTTGGCTGTTCAATTTTATGCAAACAAAGCATTAATGAACCTTTCTACCCTTGGACAGAAGTGACTTAGGAGGAACAAACACAATGATTGGAGAACAAGTCCTGGTTGCATTTTAGTACAGCATATTTATTCTTATTATTACAGCTGTAAAGTCACTGTGAGCAGCTCTGGCCATGCAGGTTTTATGATGTTTCATTTCTCATTTTGGTTTAATAGCTCAATGTTCATATGAGGGAATCACACAGTGCTATCATATCAATGTTAGGGTTCATATGGTACACAAAAGGCAAAAGTTCAGGAATTACTGAGAGAAAAACATGCAAAGATTGATCCAACCAGAGATTTTATTTAACTTTTTGTTAATAAAGGGAAACTTGAGAAAATACCAATGCTGCTCAGCCACACTTTAGTTTGAAAGGATTTTTTTGGTATAGAGTATTATTTATTTGGTTCAAGAAACCAGGTTTGTTTTTTCCACTGAGGCTGACACCAACCCACTCTGCCCCATGCTGTTTAACATTGGCAGAAGATTCTGCTATTTTTTTGGGGGGGCTTAATCTACATATACATCTCTGTTGCTCAACCCAATAATATATATTTACAAAAACTTTGGCACCATTTAAGACATGCTGTGAACAAAAACACACTTGGTAACTAAGAGAGGAGATGATGGGCCTAATAATATATGTTTCAGTACAAATAATATGTTAACGGTACAGGCAGTGACGTACAGGGTTTATCGTTGTTACTTCTAAGTTTGAACTTCAACACTTATTAATCTGTTTCTCACATACAGTAATCACATACAGTACAGCCATTCAAAAATAGCCCTTCCTAGTCAAACGCCAGCCGAATGGCAGCCCACTTCCCTGCAACACCCAGAAAAATCCCCTCCAATTTCCAGCCACTAGAGTGACCACCTCCTTCTCCTGGGTGGGCATATTTTTTTTTATTCCGACTCCACCCTTTCACAGGGTCTGACCAGGAGAAGGAGCTTCTCTTTAGATCTTAATGTCCACAAATCCTGACAGAAAGAATATTTTAGAACAAAGATTGATGTTTAAAAAACTATTGTAGGGGACTAAGGCCCTATCAAGAAAAGTGGGGAAATTTTGAATGGCTACTACTTTAATCCAACTTTTTAATTGTTTTGTTTTAAATGCTTTCATTTTAATCACTGTGTTAGTGTGTTTTACATGTGCTGTAAAGCACATTTTGGATGCTGTAGATGGTTCAATAAATGCTGGCTTATTGAAGCTTTCCTGGAGATTCTGAAGGGTCCTAACTCACTGCTGTGCTGTGAGTCATCTCCAGAAATATATTTTCCACTGGATAGAAGAGAAAATGCACTGCAAACATGTGGAATACCCCAAGAATCCTTGATATTAGTTACTCAGCCCGGCTGTGGACTGAAAACAGACCACAATGCTTCCTTTAGGCTGTCTGGACGGGGGATACAGCCAGCCCAGGTATCCGAATAGAGCATTGCCGTGTATCACTTACAGGAAGTCATTTAGGCCCGATCCTGTTTGTAATGCTGCATGTAAACAAAGAAGTCATGAAAGATTGATGCAAATCTTCAAACCTCAGCCTCACCGTCTCCTCTTAGAGTCCTCAGAGTGAAATGTAACAATCCTGTGTGGTCATCTAAAAAAAAAAAAAAACTGACACCAAAATCATCTCACCTGTTTTAATGCACTAAAATGTTTTGCCTAAATTTGATGATTTATATAATTGTATTACATAGCAAATTACTTTTTAAAGATACTTGTAAAACAAACCTATAAAATTGAAAATTAATGATAATTTCTGTATTTATTTGAAATACTTTAAGTGTATTGTTTGAATTGCATAATAATCTGGTTACTCTTATGTAATTCAATCAACAAACTTTATGTATTTGAAATAAATACCATTAATGGTATTAATTTTCATTAAGGGTACGTTATTAACACAAAATACATAAAAGTGGTGATTATATTTTCAAAAATAAGCTTTATTTTACAAATTAATATAAATTATTTAAGGCTTATTTAATAGGTTTGCATAAAAATTATTTAAAAAAAAAATAAATGGGAATTTTTATGTAATAAATGTTCATAAATCTCAAAAAATTTGGGGAAAATATTAATAAATATATGATTTAGTCGACCCGATCGATATTCTTCTAAATAGTGACCTTATCTTTGCACCTGCTTTTACTAAGAGCTTGTTTGGTTCATATTTCATTGCCAAGATTTCTCCACCATCTCTTGTTGAATGAGTGATTCAGCCTTTGTTGAAGGAACTGAGTGGGCGCAGGTTTGCATTATTATCTGTTGCTTCCAGGTAAGAAAGGAGGTGCAGTGGATTGCACTTCATCTGCATTAGAGAGCAGGCAGCTGAGCAGCCAGCAGAGTTGTTAATAATGTAGCAAGCAAGGATCAGGAGGTTTAAAAGATGGGAACCAAGATCCACCAATGCTATGAATTCTTAATATGACTCTGAACTTTTATCTTTAGCCCGTTAACCGTATTGGGCCCTCAAAGCTTAAATTCAATCTTAAAACTGAGGAATCAAAAATGTAACACTCGAGATAAAACACCTAAACATCTTTTTGTTAGGCTGAACATACCTGCGAGAGCTGGAAGCTTCTGCAGCTCTCTGTTAGCACTGAGAGGGAAGGAGGAGGTGCTGAACCTCTTCTCTCTCTTCACAGCTGAGTGGGACGCTGGTTGCTTCACCCTCAACAGCTGAGCTGCAGGGGGCACTTTCTTACCTGAACCCTGTGGAAACAGAAACCGCAGAAGATGGGCGGCTGTTACTGGAGTGAGGTCGGGTGGGACAGTGCCTGTGCTACAGGAAGTGGGACAGAGGTGACTATTCAAGTGAAGAGAGAGAAGGCAGCTGAAGGCACCATCGTAAAGAGTTCAGGTTCCTTTCCTTTCCGAATTAGATCAGGTGACTCTTAGTCAGGAAACATGATCGCAGCAGGCGGTGTTGTTTTCTGCATCCATCCACATTATCACTTGTGATGGAACACAGCAGACAGAATAAATAATCTCAGATTAATTGGATAAAGCTGGAAATAAAACAATCCATGCTCATCTGCTCCTACTACCCTAATAATACCTGATATATATTTATAAGACATATTAGGAAGTGATGCAGTCATGCAGCTCATTGGTAAACACCATTAAATAAATTATTTAATCTTATTGTTTTGATTCCAAAAGCCAAACGTAGGAGTTTTATCAATTCATTCCATAAATAGTGACAGATTTTAAGCATCTATTTTAGATGATTTAAACTTTAATAGCTCAAAGGTAGGCAATTAAATTCTTTTTTTTTTTCTCAGAAAATGATAAAATCAAAAGGTAAAAAGGATTTTAAAAATTTTGTGGACCAACTGAATAGTTTCTACCTTCCATGTCCAGCATCAGTATTGATTCTTGCTTAGGACTCTTTTCAGGAATGTCCTGATTCACCTTTTTAATTTCCGATACCATGACGATATCGCAGTTGTGAGTATCGACCAATACAGATTTTTATGCGATACCATATCAGCATTAATCATAAATATTTTTATCACTTATTTCATAGTGTGGAATGTTAGAGAAGGCTTAATCAAGTGACATTTCCTTAACAGAGAACAATACTTTACAACATCAGATATGAGAACAACCGACCAATTTCTCATTCACCAAATAGATGCATAAACTTTAAACAAAAGCATATTAAAGCAAAGTGTTTGAGCTTTGTATTCTTCGAGATTAAAAAAAAAAAGACGGCTGATCTATTACGATATTTATATTTTAGCTGATATCTGACCGATTTCTGACATAAATATCCAATCAACACATCCCTAGCTCCTCTGACATGAATTACTGCACCACTGAAAAACTGAGATCAGCCAATGGTTTCACTGAGGTGCTCAGGAAGCCCAGGGAGTTTTAAAACTGGCTTTTAGCTGTCTGCATTGTTGTTTCTGGAGTCTTTATGCCCCTTTTGAAAATACTTCATAGATTTTCTTTATGGTTGAGGTCTATCCAATTTGCAGAATAATTCTAGGTATTGGTACTACTGGCTAGGGAACCGCAATTATTTTTGATTTAATTAAAACACAGTCGACCAACACCAGCAGAGGACATGCCCAGTGTTTCCCCTAAGCTGCCCCTAGTGAAATCATGCACTGCTCGTGCATTACCAGTGTACAGTTATGCAACTATGCAGCGCATAAATTAAATCCAGCAAACTAAATAATAGTAATAATAATAAATTAATTAGATCAGTTTTTCAACTTGAAACCAACAATGAACGAATGAGAAACGACTTTTTTAGCCTAGTAGATGCTGGCTGTAGTTCATGATCTACTCTTCAAACCCAGTTTAGAATATCACTACCTAATCAGTTTTATAATAAACATAAATACAATTAAGGTTTGTGATGAATAAATACATACAGGAGGAAGAAGAATATGTAGTGGCCCAAATTATTCACCAGTCCAGAACAAAGAAACTGACCGGTTTGTAGCAGCACTGCAAACCAGCATGCAAACAGTATACAGTATAAGATTAACCTGTTCACAGTGTTGCAGGATGTGCTGTGTGAATTTTTGTTGATGTTGTTGTTAATTGAATGTTATGATGAGGCTAAATTAAGTGGGTAGCACTTCTGCCTTGCAGCAAAAAGGGTTTGATTCCCAGCCCGGTCTCTTTCTGCATGGAGTTTGCATGTTCTCCCTGAGCATGCATGGGTTCTCTCCGGGTACTCCAGCTTCCTCCCACAGTCCAAAAACATGACCGTTAGGTTAATTGGCTTCTCTACATTCATTTAGGCTTGAGTGTGTGTGTGAATGGTTGTTTGTCCTGTTTGTCTCTGTGTTGCCCTGCGATGGACTGATGACCTGTCCAGGGTGGACCCCACCTCTCGCACGTAGAAAGCTGGATATAGGCACCAGCACTCCTCGCGACCCCACTTGGGATAGGCGTCAAGTAAAATGGATGGATAGATGAAAAACAGTAAATGGGTCAATCTGCACATTTTCAGATTTGGTGGCTGCAGCACTTAGATGTGAGAAGCTACAGGAGATCTCACGGTTTGTGGATATTTGTGCGACATTTCAAGCACCCTCATTGTGAAAGAGGATTTAATTTTATGGATCATATCAAAACAGCATCCAGAAATATTCTTGGAGTGGCATATTTTTTTTTTACGGAACTAGTGGCTCATTTTTTGGACAGTAGGCTGATAGTAAAGGGGGTATGAGAGAGGGGGAGAGACATGCAGGAAAAGATCAGAGGCTGGATTCGAATCCGGGTCGCCCATGTCGAGGACTAAGGCCTCCATACACATGAGTCATGTGCTCTAACCCCCACCAAAGCACACCCCATAGTGGCATATATGGTCAGCCAATCGACAAGTGAGAAAGACAGACATGAAAAATAGAACAATTTAAGTCAGATTTATTCATTTCTAGTGACGTTTATTAAGTTTTTTATTTATGGATATTAATCATGAAATGACGATACTTTATAAGTAATTTATATTATTAGAAAAGCTCAAAAGGTGTGTAGTTAAATAATTAGAGACAAAGAGTTACAGGAATTTATACTGTATCACAAGGTTCAGCACACATTTCACTGTGCATAATGCAAAAGTTTTAATGTGAACAAAAAGTTATGTTTTTTAACAGATGTAACATCTCATTTCTTCCAGAGCAGGACCCTCACCCTGGCCAAAGTTGGACTCTTACATATAGCTTACTGCACATCTCATGAAGTTCTTATTTGTTCTTTTAATCTTAAAGTAATAGTACACCCAAAACATGATTAGCCTTCATTTTCTACTCACCCCCATGCTGAACAACAGTCTGGAGTACTTTTTTGATATCTCAAATGCATCTGGAGATCTGGGAGGCTTCTTGCTGTCTGCTGACATTCAAATAATGGAGGTCTATAGTGCCCGAGGCAGAAAGGTCCATGAAAGTCCACAAAAAACGTGTCAATATTCCTCCATACTGCTCGTCCAATGTATTCCAAGTGTCCTGAGTGGGTAGCATCCAGAATTTACTCGAAACGAAGTCATTTAGAATGTTTTTAGAGCATAAACAGTAGTGTGTAGGATTTCCTGAAAGCGCGCACCTGCGCGATCACGAGGCTACAGAAGCCGGCAGACCAAACCAGATGAAAGTGCGCATTCAGCGTCTGCTCTGCCAATAATGCAAGCGTAGAAGAGGAAATGTGCTGTTTACCTGTGCAAAGAAAGAAACAACGAAAGAAAAATGTCTGAGGACTTCAGTGTTGAGGAAGAGCATGAGTTCTTTGCCGAGCTGAATGCGCTGGTTTGGTCTGCCGGCTTCCGTAGCGTCGTGATCGCGCAGGTGCGCGCTTTCAGGAAATCCTATACACTACTGTTTATGCTCTAAAAACATTCTAGATGACTTCGTTTCGAGTAAATTCTGGATGCTACCCACTCAGGACACTTGGAATACATTGGACGAGCAGTATGGAGGAATATTTAAACGTTTTTTGTGGACTTTTATGGACCTTTCTGCCTCGGGCGCTGGGCACCTCCATTATTTGAATGTCAGCAGACAGCAAGAAGCCTCTCAGATCTCCAGATGCATTTGAGATATCAAAAAAGTACTCCAGAGTGTTGTTCAGCATGGGGGTGAGTAGGAAATGAAGGCTAATCATGTTTTGGGTGTACTATTCCTTTAAGTTGGCCAAATTACTTACATTAAAAGTAAACTAATGAAAATTGCTGCTGTAATCTCTTATTCCTTTAATAAACAATATACGTAACTTGCTATGATCAGTGTAATAACTTTATTATTGGTGTGTGGCCTCAGTGTTCATCTGATGTTGCCCGCAGGGGTCTCAGTTTACTCAGGGGGTTTGTGTGTGTGCTCAGACACATGGAACAGGGAACATTGGACATGGTTCCTCAAAAAATCACTACCTGAACCTAAAGCAGCACAGATTCTGAGACTCTCCACTCTTCCTCCTCAATCTGGGACCTTGAGTTTTGAATGGAATGCAGAACTTATGTTAATCTAAAAAGAAGAAAGTAAGATTTTCTCCTTGTTCTCAGGGAGGAATAGTCTTGAAGGTTGTGTGGTCAAGAACTGGCTTATCATAAGGAATGTGATGGCCGAAAACGTCTGTGTGTGGTAGTTCCTATCCCACTGAAATTAATTGCAGTCCACAACTCGTTAATCTCTTATTTATCCCTGTTAATTCCTCAGAGTTTCCGTCCACTAAACGTTCCCTGAATATGCTTGAATACAGCACTCTGCCATCAGCCTCCATGTGAGGGGAGTCTGTGACTCTCCTGAACCACTCTTTAAGTGTGGCTGAATTAGCTCTAATCCATAGTTTAAGGTGAACAAAAATAAACACTTGAAATATTTAAGTGTTTTAATAAGGGGCTGAAAGAAGTCAGATATAATCAAAGTCATTCCACAGGCTTGAGGGCTATCTCAAGCTTTTGTATACAATCAACAGGCAGCGCAGAAATAACACTGGGTAGGAATAACTGCTACAATGCCTGGTTTTATTCTCACAGAATGAAGAAGTGCTATTAATGAAAATAAAGTCACAAGATCATGTCACACATCATATGAGCCATACTTAGCCTTGTTTACAGTGAAACAAAAAGTCAACAAACAGTCTAATTTTGATCAATTTCTTTGAAATAGGCAGAATTTAGGTCATATTCTGCTAAATTGAATTCTTTAAATTGAAAGATATAAGCAATGATTGTTTAGATTTAATATAACTGTGTTGGTCAAAAATTAATTTTTTACATTTATATAGTTTCTATCAAAAGCACATAGATCAGAAAACCCAGATAAATAAAGTAGCTACACCTTCAAAGGTTTAAACTCACATCTTGGTTTCCTGCAGGCCCGTTTTTGCTTCCAGATTGTTTTGATCTTCCAGATTTCGAGGACTCCTTCAGAGTTGGTGTTCAAGAAAACTGAATTAGTAACAAGGTATGACAAAATGCAAAGCAGACGTCCTGACTTTCACACCAAAAAGCACAATACCTTTTCTTTCCTACTCTTGTGGGGCATCTTGAGGGTCTTAGGGTCCCCAGATTCAGGTGGAGGAGTGGTCACACCCTGTCAGATACTTGGTAGAACGGCTGTTACCACTGTGCTGAGGCTTTCCCCCACTATCCATCCATACCTACACCACTACAGTCTGCGTCCATAAAGGTTTCATCCCAGTGTTTCCCTGCTGGCTTCCCAATACCAGTTACGCTTCCCTAGTGGAAAACACTTCATGAGTGCAGAGAGGAGCGATCAGTGGCAGCTGCTGACAGCCAACTTACTGCTGCAGCAGCTGCACTTTGTGGTGCCTTCCAGCCTGAGTCATAGAAATCTGCATAAATGTAGTAAGGAAAAAATGCCACAAGGGGGCAGTGATTACACCAAAATATCATCCAGACTGTCTATGTTCAGAAAACTCAATGCACTCTGATTGTTAGACACCTTGTTCAAAATATTAAGCAGTATGGGTGTAAATAAGCTCATTAAAGCTGATGAAGGTTCTTGGCTTTTTTCATATGAAAAGAAATAATGAACATGTTGCTGAAGTTGGTGGTGCAAATACTTCTCTCTCCCTAATGATCAGAGTAGCTCTTGCAGGCATGAAGGATGCTCATTTCCTGGTTTCTTTAAAACAAAAAAATCACACCCCCTTTTTCTTCCTTTTATATTTTGCTCCAGACAGTCAGTTAAGTAATTTTTGAATAATATTAATTTACTGGAAAAAGGCTGACCTCACCTAATTTGGCACTCCTAAAAAATGTGTAAAATTACCTGGAAGCAATGACTTTTCTAAAAAAAAAAAAAAAAAAAAAAAAGTAATTTTTATATGTTTGTATGTCATCAGCACATGCAAGTTTAAAAAGAATTTATTACCTTCTTCACAACCAATTGAACGGCTGTTAAGGGTGTGAAAGCAATCAAACCCGTCTTGGAATTTCCAAGAAACTTTTTCCAAATTTTCCAATGGTAATTTGATTATTTTACATTAAATCAAGTTGTTTGAGGATGGAGGTCCACTTTGCCATCACTCTAATCTGTAGCTCCTTCCACAGATTCCTTTTTAGCCCCCTCTAAAACGTTATCATTATTTCTTCCAAGAATATACATGGCAGTAAAATCAGAAGATTGCTTAAACCTAAAGCTGACAGAAGTATAGATAATGTTGTTGGGCTTAGCTCTATGCAAATATGGAGGAACTGAAGAGCTTTTATACTGCATTAGTAACAGCAGTACAGATGTGGAAAGTTTGGAAGAAAAAGTGGGGCAAAACTATGAACCATCACATCGAGGGGCACCAAAAAAAATATGGTCCACACAACTGTCACATTCCTTCTGCAAATGAGATAAAGGATGATGCTGTTCCTCAGTGCTTCAATCTCCTCTCTTAAAATAAAACTTAATCTTCCATTTCAATCTAAAATCAAGGCCCAGGTAAGACGGGTGGAGATGTACAGAATACAAATGAGTTGATGTCCATATCATCTGCTTTTGTCAGACTACTGTGTTTTATCAAACATCAAGTTAAAGCAGCTAAAGTTTGGAGCACTTAAAGTTTCCCTCAGATAATGAGTTTTATGCTGACTGCATTTCATTAGGTTGATATTAATGCTGTATATCTTTGCTGCTGTTTGGTTTATAAAACAATTCATGTATACCAGAATACCACATTCTTTACTCATTAAGATTTAAACACACTATGAAAAAAGTCTTCAAGGACTTTTAATGAATGGTTAAAATATGTTGCTTTTAAAACAAGGTGCTTTAGTAACTCACTGAAGCCATATGGTGGCAGTGTGGGATCATTTTCTACTTGATGCTTAAATAGCTGAAGTCCTTTTAAAGTCAGAACATTCTGGTATAATTCTAAAGACTAAATGGAAGCACTAATTAAAACAACTTTAAAAATAAGTGTTTACCTGTTTGCTGATTATGAGAGAAGAAGGTATAGAAATAAAGCCAAAAGCAAAGGGAGTGAGATTGTTCCTGTCACTGAATTTCTTCCTTCTGAAAACAGATTAACTTCTGTTACCTGCAGGAAGAGAGCCGAGCTCATCTGAGCTGATCACATGTTCTTCACACCTACAGCAGTCGGGCACGTTTCATCATGACTGATAAAGGAAGAATGGGAAAACTGACACGATCGGTGACTACCTGAGTGGGCTTTAAAACAGAGTAGGTCTGTTTTTGTGCTTTGGTTGCTGATGTGTTGATGTTGGTGTGTATTTATCAGCTTGTGGGAGTGTTCTGTTTCATTGTGTACCAATTGCTTCACAATCAGACCTTCATCATCAACTCCATGTGATTACTGTGAGATATGGCTCCCTTCATTTCCCGTCCCTGCAACAGCACAGGCTGCAGCAGCCAGAGAGGAAAACTGTTCCCTTGTATTTCAGCTCTGCTTTTTCGCACATATATGCATATATGGTTGGTTATTTTCTCCTGCTTACCCTAGCAGATTTTAAAATGAAAATGATCTCTTAGCAGATTATCATTTTTTTCATGCTCAGTTTACATACCCATATTTACAGAGTATTCTCACTATTTTATCTTTACTACTTGGTGAGGAAGAGAAGAGAACCTTCCCAATTTTATTTTCCTCACTCTGGGGCTAACAAACAGCTGACTTATTTCCAACACAAATCAATATAGTTTAACTCTGTTGGGTATTGTTTAAAATATTTTCTTTGGTTATAAAGAAACATCTGGCATTAAGAACATTAGGCTCACAAGTTTAATTCAAGCTACAGAGACTCACACAGAGAAAAGCAGACATTAGAGAGTTTTATTGACATAAAGAAATAAATTCATTTTTAGTCCTGAATGAAAGTAATCTGCAAGTAGTAATGTTTTTGAGCCAAAGTCCAGATTTGAATCTCACCCAAAATCTGTAGTTGGACCTAACATTGATGTCAATAAATCAGAATGTAGGACCCAGTATTCAAGGCAAGACAGAGTGGGAAGATTCAATAAGTTTATTAACAAAAACAGAAGGAAAAACAAAAACAGAAAAAAACGTCATAAGGGGGCTGCTGTGGATCTGCCACCCAACACTGGCACTCTGGGTGAGGGAGAAACACAGGTAAGTGACCACGATAATCTGAGGGAAGATGATTAATCCGTGTGAGTCACTTACCTGGTTTAACAGTTCAGTCCATCCTCTCAGGTGAGTTTCCAGCCAATGGACTACCAACAAGATGCAGCGCAGAGCCGCCCAGAAGATCCCACAATGCAGCAACCCCAGTGAACAGGGCAGGAGTCTGAGCCAGGTCAGGCATCAGCTTAGAACAGGACAGTTCCTGAGATCCAGGAGTCCGCAACCCGACCAGGGTTTCCGATCCAAACAGGAACAGAGAGATCCAGTGCTACAGGAATCCACAGAGCGTTGAGGCAGGTTCAGGATTTCATGAGTCCACACTCAAATGGAATCAGGCAGGGTCAGCAGTTGAGAGCAGAACTATGACACGACACCAGGAAAACTATGGAACTTTCAACTGGCTCCCTCCACCGAACCGAAACAGGACATACTCAGTGGAGAGGAGCCAGAACTATGGAGCTTTAAACTAGCTGCCCCCGCCGAGCCCAAAACAGGAACAGGGCGCACTCAGCGGAGAAGAGCCAGCACATGATCAGGAAACACCAAGACATGACAAAACACCTTCTCTAACCACTGGCCTCTGCGAACACGAACTGTGGAAATCAGCCATGATCTCCAACTAAAATTAGAACTCAAACAAACGTAATAAACAAACATCCTCAATGATATGGCCCGATAGATGGGCTGAACCTTATATAAAGCAGAAGGAGCAGGTGAATAAGATGAATGATAATTAGTGAGCGGGGAGTGTTCAGCAGGTGAGTGAAGTGAGCAATTAGATCAGCTATCAATGTTACGATCATGAAAAATTAAGGATGTTGGCGGGGATGGGGGGGCTGTTGGCTTGAGAAGTAAAGTTCTTGTCTTTAAAAATAACACTTTTTTTTTGCTCTACAGTATTTTCACTAAAAGCCCCAAATTATTTTCCATGATATGGGCACGTACATTTCTGACCAAAATTGAGCACCATCCTATCCTTTTATTCTACATATAAAAAAAATCAAAACAAATTTTGCTGCAGCTGCTAAACCATTTCACACAGACGTCATGTTACATGGTGAGTGAAGAGAGTTGACAAAACAAAGCTGTGTAGCCAATACAGGGCTAATGAGCTAGGCAGCGCAACAAGAGCTTGTTTGTCTTTCCAGGAGAGACAGAGACGGAGAAAACTAGAAGTAAAAATGAACAGCTTGTTAAAAAAATGAAGGACAAATCAGTGAACCAATACCTTCATTTACTTTAAGTGATTACAGCTAAACACACATGTTGTGTTACCAGTTACCACACACTAGCTGACCTATACATGCCTGTTATATATCATACTAAAAGTTATCCATCACATATTCTTCATAAGGTTAAAGCTGACGATCTTCTTAGAGAAAAAATAAGAAAATAATGTTTCTGCGTGTGTTATCTGTGTTTTCTTTTTTTTTAATAATAAGGTAATGTTTGCTCACTGTGCAACACTGCACACTGACAGGTTTATGTTTGACATCATTAAGCGCTCTCCCTCCGTGCACTGACATGGCTGCCCTCACCTTATCCCAGCAAATGGCTTGTTTGACAGCTTGAGGAAAACATGGTGTGCCCC